TCCCGCCCAGGCCAGGATACCAATGACGTGGGCGGGACCATCTCCGCCCTTCTCCCCCCGCCTACTCTATCGCCATTAGCACGTGGTGTGAATTAAAATTTGTCGACTATAGTAAATGATCGTAGCTGTACGCCAACGAGCCACGCCGTGTTTGTAACGTCGATTTGGAATACATCTCACTTATTCCTTACGCGCATCTACTAAGCGGTTAGGCATGGGTGTGCGGGCGGTGTGTGGTGGTATACGAAGTCTGTGTGTGGTACAGGATGCCGTACCTGTATAGGGGACTACGCGTGGTTTGAATGGGGACTGCGTGTGGTGTGCACTCCAGCTACAATTGGTGTGTACGACGGCTGCGTGTGGATGTCTGGGACATGATTGGTACCATACAGCTCACTTGACCCATTATACTTCCGTCTGGCGACTGTACCGTATTTCACTTTGTTAGCAAATTCACCTAGAAGAGAGGATCTGGGGAAGCTCTGGATTTAAATGAGATGTGTTGTTTTATCACAAACGTGTTGCTATACAATCTATTCCTGTAGGCCGTTAGAAGGCAAACACAGAGAATCTTTTTGAAAAAGTTGCTGTTAGGCTCGATATTCAACGTGATGAAAGAGGGAACAATCACTAACTCGCAGATCGCTAATAGCAGGTATGGCGTCTACGCTGTGGCCTAATACTTGGCCTCATATTGGTTGTGCTTTGGTCCCTTCCGGCATGCAGGAGGAAGGACGTCGGTGGGATGAAAGTGGTGTATTACAGAACCGCACGGACATCCAGGTGCACGATTACCAATTTTTTGCATAAAGTCCGGTCGTTTTTCGGTAATGCTCGCTTTGTGAAAAAATGAAAAATGCAAATTTTTTGAAAAAATGCAAATTTTCAGTTCATTAAAAAGTGGAAGTATTGCTCGAGCGGTCAAAAACTCTAAGTATGCAAATGAACTAATGTTCATTTACATACTTGGGTAAGGGCGGTCGTTCGCTGCAAAACGCACTCGTTTCTGGTTTTTCAGTAAAGTTGAGTATTTCTCACGCCTATCTATAGGGAATTCCACTTCCAAGCAGATTTAAGATCACACTGGAAATAGAATGTTTTTGAGCGAATTTCCAGCCTCGCAGCTTATCCGGTAAGCGAAACATCCACTTCGCTACAAATATCTTTGAAGTGCCATAATTTGTGGCACACGTACAAATTGGTACTCACTTTAGGTATACGGTTTCCTATGTGGGAGTCAAACATCCTGACAAAATTTCAGCCACTGCTTACTGGCAAGTTTTCGAGCTAGCATAGTAACAAGCCGCAAACTTTGACGTGATCGTACGTGCTTCACGAGCGTGCTGGACAGTTGAGTTTAAAATCTTTGGCTCGAACGTGCATAGAGAATTCCTTGCAAATTTTCAGCTTTGTACCTTACCTGGTTCGCAAGGTCGTTTCCCGCCAAAGAAATTTGCATATTTTTTTTGGGAGGAGGGCCCGTACGCGGGATCTAGGCGCGTGTGAGGGAATATCTTGAAAGAGAGGGTGACACACGGGGTAGGAACATATACCCAAAGTCTGAGCCTCCCAACTTCCCTGGTTGCTGAGATGAAAGTGGGTGACAAAATGCACTCGCTTCTGAACATGCACACAGACCGCCTCTCGACAATATGCGTTTTGCTGGCTGTAGCGCTACACAGCAAACACGCATAAAGAAACGCTCTGGGACAGTTTTATTCGCTGCATTTTTCCCCTTTCAAATTCCTGATCTAGACAATTCCAGATTGCACATGCTGTGTGGAATCAAGTGCAGCTGGACTTTTAGCCTAGGAGTAACAGTATCTGCCATTAACCAACTGGCAGCTTATTATCGAATTTTTTAAAGTTCCAGAACTTTACCTCAAATTCAGTGCTGTTCGCTACAGCAATTCTGCCACTGTTTTGAACTGTTATACTTTTACTCTAAAGTCATTTGTTTAAAATTTCTTACTGCAATGCACAAGAGAAAAAACGTTAATTTTTTTTTTAAACTATTTCTTCCAGGAAATGCTAAGGATCCTAGGGCAGGCTGTACATCTCTTTTTCCCATGCTCAGAAGCGCTGTACCTTGATATTGTTATCATCGAGAAAATTTTTGAAATAACTCTTACAGTATCATTTCCACGTTTCTCCTCGAATCGCTGCTTGAAATGACAGGATGAATCTGTAGCTGATGCTGACCCAGGCGGTCGTGTTTCTTCAAATTCACGCAAAGCCGTTTCGTACTCTTCAATCCTGGATACATACTCAACCAAGCTAACTTTTAATAGCAAGTCTGCATTTCTTACGATGCGCTGGGAACTATCAAAAAGTTGTTTGTTGGATGAAACAGTGCAGGAGCTTGATGCAAAAAAAGAAGAGGAATTTGAAATCAGTGCACTGAAGCGAAAGATGTCATTGCGATCACGCAAGAATGTACAAGTCGCGTTACTCATCTTGCAAACATCTGTTAGACAGCGTGTCAAAAAAGTGCTATTTGTAAGAAAATAAATTCTGAGAAGTTAGCAAATTTATACCGACAAAGAAGGGAGTACGAACTATGGATGTGCAACTTTCGACTACGCAGCCTGGCGCAGCCACGATCAAAGCATAGGGAAATCTCAAAAACAGCTAACAACGAATATTTACACTGTTTGTCCGAGGGATCTTGCCTTTATGCCATACAAATGCGTACTGGTTTCTTGCACATAACTTTATTATAATGAGCCAAAAATTATTGAAACTCTAGTTTTCAGCCTTTTTTTATTTTTACGCATTATTTTTGTTAGAGCAGTCAATTCAAAGCAAACAGCCTGGCTTTTTCGTGCTTAGCGTTGGAAATCTATGCCTTTGTAAGGACGACCTTGCTTATGATGGTTGGCAAATCCCCAAGAAAAAGCCAAAAAAACCTGTGATCAAAATCAACGGATAAAGACAAATTTCACTAGGTAACCAATATTCTAAACGATCGAATTGGGCAGATACTGATAAAAAATACTAACCATTCTCTTTTCCATCCCTGTTTCTGCAGAACATTCCTTGGTGTACCAAATCCAGTCATACCTTTCTGCGAAGCAAGCCTGTTGGTACCTGCTTGCAATGGTACTACACCTTCTGATTTGATTTTCTGTGCCTCATCAATTTCTTTTCCACCCTGGAAATTTTAGCTGGAGCGTAAGTAACATGGAATTTCTTTTTTTTTAACGAAATATAAATTTTCTTTGCGAGATTTTAGCAATATTTCAGCATTTATCATCTATTCGATGTAATATCTATGGCCTTTACTTAATCTGCTGATCATACAGATCAAAGTTAAATCTTCCCTGCATTCTGTTCCTTACGAGAGACGAAGGTTACAGAGCATTTTACCACGCAATCAAATGCTGAGAATACTTCTGACGCCCCACCTTCTGTTGACTTTCCAAGAAGGTGCACATTTGCAAAGGACACCGAAGACCCAAAACAAAAAAAATCAGTTCAGGACATTCAGGCTAACGCATAGCTCCACTCGTTGTGCGAAAAGCCTCCGTCCCATTCATAGCGAATAGTTCCACAACCATTGCCGAGTCGATCGGGAGACGGTACCAAATTAAGCAATACTGAGATTTATTCAACGAAAAGAGTTAGAAAATTTTTCAAAGCGTACCTTTGAATGGGGCAGAACATCACGTACTTTGAGGAAGCCACCGGTGCCAGCTTGAGTGGCAAATTTGTTTTGTCCAGAGTACCATGGTGTTATTGCTGTACCTTTGCGTAAGCCATCCTCACTAGAACAAGCGGAATGAATAGCAGTAGTTGTTGTCGCGGTTTTTGCTGTTTTGTTGGTTCTACTGTTTACTGTAGTAGCTTTTGTTGGTATCAGTGTGCGAGCATGTCAAAGTTGATTCTGCAGCTATGCAAAAGAAAGAGGGGAAGTTAGTCATGAGACGTTTTTCAGCATCAACAAGGCATTAACTGTGAAGGCGAAAAACGCATATTGACGAGAGGTTGTCTGTGTTTCCGTGTGTCTGTGTTTCTGTGTGTCTGTGCGTCTGTGTGTGCGTCTGTCACGCACTTTCATCTCAGGACCTATAAAAGCTG